ATATAATATATAATATCTAATAATATATAAATATATATATATATATATATATATTATAATCTGTAATCTAATACTGAAAATGATACTTAAACTGCTGACTGTAGCTTCAGTGACTTAATGTAAACATTAACAGTAATACTGAATGACCTATAGCCTACTTACACTACACTTACAGATTCAAGTGAATTCCAGCTGCTTTACTTAAGACTTATCTTTAATTTCAAATAACTTAATTTGTCAAGGGTCTGTGGCCTTCTGGTCAAAAGGACGGTCTTGATTCATAGGTCACTGTTACATGACTACTTGCACTGTTTCAGTTGTCCAATGCAGCTACAGCACAACCTGTAACTCCCCTAACCACAAGCCACAGTTATATAACAGACGTCAAATGGGAGAAGATGTCGGCTGTGACAGACCTTTAGGTGAAATTAACTACTTTAAACAAACTCTCATTTGTGTTATTTCAGCTGTCCTTTAAAAGTCCAACTCCTCACAAGAATCAGTAAAACACTATATGGATAATGACTGATTAGAATTATTTGTAAGATTGGAAAAATGTTCAGGTTTATTTCACCGACTAAAACTTTGCACCCTCCAAAAACATCACATGGTTTTTGCTAAAAAGAGGACCTGCCTCTTGGCAGTGTTGAACTTACCTCCAGCTATACTTTCCACCAGGAGGCAGCTTCCACAAGTAATAACAGTCAAAGAGATGGAAAATCAATACCCTGCAGCCGACAAGCCTTGTGCCTAATGCATTTCACTTTATGGGCCCAAAATGTCTATTTGTATGAGTTAATAATTAACAACTCATATTTCAACTAATATCTTAAGTATATCACAAAGTAAATGTATACCCCACAGTTCCCTTCAAATGTGATGCAACTCTAAATCTTTCTCTGAAACTGCCTTTGAGAACATTTTTGCCTTTTGGCCAGGTTTTCTGCAGTATGTGGTCAGTCCGTCAGCAGTCATTTGGTCCAATAAAGACTGTTTTTTCATTCTCTCTCTCTCTCTCTCCCACAAGTCAAACCACAATCCCTCTCGGAGTCAGTTGTCTGCTTGGGTAATGGAAAAGGAGTATTTCTTGCTAATTCTTGCTAATTCCCTTTCCAGCCATCGTGGGGCACAAGGCGGTGGTTGCAGCTCTGTGAGGCTGCCCTGCTTCATCATGTCATACACTTCATTAACATTGCCCAGTTTATTTTGCTGTCAAATTAGGCTCAAGTAAGATGCTTTCAGTTGGAGATTGTAATCCACAGTTTTGACTGTAAGGCACATACTGTGGGCTATACATGATGGGAGGAACATTTCTCTTGGACTGAGACAACAAACTGAGCCTACTGCAACCTAACACAAACATGGACACAATGAAAAGAGACAGAGAGAAAAAAAAAGAGATGAACTGTAAACATAATGAACAAAATAAACAAAATGAGAAGGAAAGAAAAAGAATTAAAGAGCAAGAGTTTTACGGACATGTGCTGTGAGTGCTTTGAATTAAATGCAAATATTAGCATGATAACATACTCACTGTCAATGCTAACACATCAAGTTCTTACAGGTGTAATTATTAACCCATAAACACAATATTTACCCTATGTCAGTATTGCTAATACTTTCTTAATTAGGAACAAACACTAAATACAATTGAATAATCTAAGGCTTGTACAAAGTTTTGTGTCAAGGCTTTATCTTATTATCTATTAGTTGTAGAGATATTTCAGTCTGGACCAAATTGGTGGGCAGACCAACAGGCCAACAGACACTGGCATCCATAAAACCATGCCGCTAGCATGAATAAAAAAGCAACTCTTCACAACACATTTGGTGATAAAGGACAGACAATAAGACCAGACAGTTTCTACTTACTGTCCACCGCCCTTATAAAGAGCAAAAGAAAAGCTTTCCTGGCATGGCGGTAGTTCCCCAGAGAAAGATGTTAGATAGGGGTAGAAAGGGGATCCATGAAGAATGAGAGGTATGCACTGGGAGAATGAACCCCCATGGATGGCACCAAGCCCTCTGCCTCCCCCCCTGTTTACTTGATTATAGAGGACAGAGACCACATAACACTGGGTAGGGTTACACATTCTGAAAGAGGGAGGTCTATGAGGCACTGCGTGGTCAATGATGTTATGAGAGGATTATGGACGGTACACAGTAAGGTGACTCTGGTACTTTCTTGTACTTCATACCAGATGCTCCATATTTTGACATGTTGTCACCAGGGTCCCAGAAGAGCTGATGTCTTTCCAGTCAGCTACACCTCAGAGGTCCTATTGGCTGCTGTCTGAAGGAGTGGGTGTGCTTCTGTATGTCTAGCCTCCCACTTGTCAGTCTTGTTGGGCAGGAGGTACCGTAGGAAGGCATGTTCACAAGCCCCTCCCTGCTCCGTGCTCTCTTTTACACACAAGCAAACCCAGCTTCTGTTATGGCAGGGGCTGAACATTGGCATTTACCAAACAGCCGCGGCATGCCACTCTCCCTGACAACACCTCCCTCCTTTCTCTGGAGACAGACGGGCAGGCTGAACTGAGCTGAAAGCAGACTGTAGTAGTGTCTGACAAACACGCCCTCACATCAGCAAGACAAAGTGGAGGAAACTGCTGAACACATGCCACAAGGTAAGCTCTTGTTTAATATTCATCTCATACCTCTCAGCCAGTGGAGGGCTGTTGGATTAGATAGTTAATCAAAGCAGAGATGCTGAATGTTGACCTTGAAAGTGTTCGATCTGGGACTGGCTGATCTAAATTCAGGGTCAGAAAAAGCTTCTGACTCTAAAGTGATTTAACAAATTGTGTGGAGTGGACCTCTGGGTCTGTTGTGAATACTAATCAAACTTTTAGGAGAATAACTTTGCTTTGTAACGATTAAATGTGGTATTGCATTTACATTTTATTGCACTATATTTACACATACTGTGCAGTAATACACTTGAATCAAGACAAACACACATGTGAATACAAACACACAAGGCTGCACACTTTCTATTTTAACCTTGCCATGTTAACATACCACAGCTTTCTTCCTTGCGTGAAGCCCCTGGCAGCTGTTTCATCCTATGAGCTTTGGCTCCACATACCACACAATGAAGCTTAGATGCCACAATGCAAATCTGACCCTGTTGCTGTTGGACTACAACCAGGACAACTCCAGTGGTCCAAAATCTCAAGACAAAAACATACAAACTAAAAAAAAAGATCACAGGACTTGAGGGATTTCTAGGAAGTCTTTATGGAGACAGTGAGTGAAAAATGTGAGTTTGACAGAAAAAAGAAGAGACAGTAGAGCAGGAGGGAAAAGGGAGCTTGAGTCCAAACAGTTGGCTTTGGTTTCTAAATCAACTCCGAACAGAAGACAAGGTTGAGAGCTATGCACTGGAAAAAAACACGGCCTGTACAGCCAAAAAGTGGAGGAGAGGAATGATTTTTCCGGGAACAGAACATTGACAGGGAAACATGTAGATGTACATTACACATTGTACAGACAGATGGACACACACTGAGAAAGACAGAGAGAGAGAGAGAGAAGAGGAAGATGGGCAAGGTGCATGAGGAGAACTAGTTTTTGAAATTGCACTGTCTTAAGTTCAGGATTACTTTAATTGTCTCAAATTTAGACGCCAGTGTTCATAGTGGTGTCAAAAATGGTTTATGTCTAAACACAGAGTACAAATGGGTGGTTGGCTGGGACAATGTGACAGAGTATCCAAATTGACAGCTCTGCAAGTTCATTCTAAGTGAACCCATGAAAACAAAAACATAAATTAGACTGTAGTGTGAGGTTATATTGAGCTAAATGCTAACATCATTATAAACTTACAATAGAAATGCTAACATGCTGATGTTTAGCAGACATAATGTTTACCATCTTATTTTGGTGTGTTAGCACGCTAATGTTTGCAAATTAGCACCAAACACAAGGTACAGGTAAGGCTAATGAAAATGAATTAGTTTTGCAGGTATTTGGTAATTCAATGAAATGTTGGACATATTACATTTTTGAATTAATGATGGTGCTAGATGAAAAGTTAAGGTCACCAAATTTAATGGCAATCCATCTAGTATTTTTTGAGACATTTCATTCAAAATAACAAATCTTAATCTCATGGTGGTGCTAAATGAAAAGTAAGGGGATCATTAAAATTTGTAAAATTCATCCTCGGGAACCATGAATGCCTGTACAAATTTTAATGGTGATCCATCCAATAATTGTTGAGATTTTTCAGTCTGAACCAAACTGGTGGACCAACCAACCAACATTGCCATCCATAGAGCCATGTGTTAAAAATGAGCACAGCTACATGTCTTTGCTGGTACCATCAGCGATTAGGTACCGTTAACAACTACTGATTTAAATTTAATCTGACAAGATCCCTTCGCACTTATCTGAGGTTCAAGCATTTATCATTGCTTTATTGGGAGGTCACCCCTCTTGCTGTGTCATGAGTTCATATTTAATTTGTGGCTTTGGTAAAGAATGCTGTGGATAGAGATGTTGTGATTATGAGGTTTGTGCTGATGCAGGAAGTCTAAAAGGTCTGTGTGAGAAGGGACACGTTTACCCAGAGGAGGAGAGCAGCTGTTGTGGGAACAGAAAGATGAAAAGAACTAAAATAAAGTAAATTTAAAATGCTGTGACTTTTCCTAAATTGAAAGATCTTTAGCTGGATACAAAGGAAACCTTCATTTTGAAAACCCCAAAAAATCAAACTCACTCTGATGCTTGACTTTGGATTGAGTTCAGCGTGTTCAGAGGCTGCAGTACTGTGGCATTGTGCAGTACTGTTTGGCTGGGGCCTGTTTGGGGTAAGGCAAATATTTTACGTTTCATTTCTTGGGTTTCCTGTGAGGTGGGCCTACTTCTCCAAGCATACACAATTAAAACCTGTGCCACGGAAATGTGGAGGGAGTTAGGCAATGACTCTTGGGAATTGCCCTAACCGTAACTCTGCTATATTGTTTCCTCTGTGGTAACCTGTGGTAAGTATGTCTATATTTATGTGAAAGAAACTGGGTGACAGCAGTTTGGATTTCACTTTGTTTGTCTGAGAGCAGGCAATAAATACGCTAAAACTGTACATCTGGTTCTGAATGATGCAGAGTTTGAAATTTTGATTAGCTGGTGTGGATCTTTTGATATTTCCACAAATCCAAGAAAGGAATGGTTTGACATTTTGGGAAATACGCTGATTCACTTTCTTGCCCAGACTTAGATGAGAAAATTGGTACCACTCTCATGTATGTACCATAAATATGAAGCTACCGTAAGGAGATGGTTATCTTAGCTTAGCATAAAGACTGGAAACACTGGGA